AGTACAGGTTGATGCATGTAAAATGACTGTACAAGTACAGGTTGATGCATGTAAAATGACTGTACAAGTACAGGATGATGCATGTAAAATGACTGTACAAGTACAGGTTGATGCATGTAAAATGACTGTACAAGTACAGGTTGATACATGTAAAATGACTGTACAAGTACAGGTTGATACACAGTCATGGCTGTCTAAATGTTTTTTGTTTTAATATGTTTTCTTTGAATTTTACTTAAATCTTGTATGTTCATTGGTAGTTTAAAGTTTTTTTAAGCTTCTAAATTGATAATAACTATTTGTTTTTTTTTGTGTAGGGTTCCAGAATACTGCATGAGAAGCCATGAATCAAGTATCTCCAATATCATCTTTGGCACCTCACTGGCAGAACTTCTTGCCTTATGCCTTTTTTGTTCTTGTGGTCATGTCTCAGACCTTTGTTGTTTGTTCTTCTAATTCGGATGACATGTGTGTAAATGATAACAAAACAAAAGATTGTTCTTGGATGGTGTGTAAAATTTTTATTATGTATGGTCATGTTTAAGTCAGTGGTGTAAAATAATGAAAGATGTGTAAAAGAAGATTTGTAAAATCAATTAATGAAAGATGATATAAAAGAAAACTGACAAGGATTGACCAAGGGAATTCTTGTCTTACTAAGCTATCAACTTTATTTAAGGATGTCACTGGTTAGCTCAAAAAATTAAATTGGTGGGGTTGGGGAAAGACTGGTTAGTCGGTTAATAGGGTGGTTTGATGTAAATAATAGGTTCTTGTTAATGAAGTCTGGTCAAACTGGGCACTTGTTACTAGTGGTGTGATTCAAGAATTAGTGCTTGGACCTTTGCTTTTTCTAATTTACATTAATGATTTTAAGAGGGGCATAATTATTAAATTAGTACAGTGTGCAGATGACGCTAAACTATTGGGCATTTCTAGCTGCACTGAGGCCTAATACCCAGTGCTGTCAAAATGCCGTGGGAGCTGGGGATTTCTTCAAGTAACATATGCAAAGCAACCACGAGATTTATAACTTCATCAATAATTTCTATTTAAATACAATCTTACCAACACAGTTTGTAGTTGTATTATATGTTCTGATTTATTGTATCATGTATATGGGTAATTTAGAAAGGAACCTTACAAATTCAGTTTGAAACAATTAAAATTTTTTTTTTTCCAAAGACAAGGTTTATCTGTCCTAAAGTGCTTCAAATTTAGCTCCAGAAACAAAATTTAGCTGTCCTGAAAATGCATAAAATTCACTTTTGGTCAGAGGCAAAGCCCCCCTCCCCCTGAACTCCTGCTTGGGAAAGACCTCCAGATTCCGATCTACTTTTGAAACATACATTTTTACTTTTAATAATAATGATAGTTCTGAATACTAATGTCTTATGACAAATATAATTAATTATAATCGTGCTTCACTGGCTCATAGAAGGCACTCACATCACAACAGTTGTTGAAAAATAACATAGCTAGCTGTTGTATTGAGGAAATATAGTCTTTCATTTATGTCTTTTTGTTTTTTATTATTACCTGAACAATCGCCCAACGTGGCCAGGGGGTTAGGGCGCTCGACTCGCAATCTGTGGGTCGCGGGTTCGAATCCCCATCCCACCAAACATGCTCGCCCTTT